CTCATTGGCACTGCCAATCGAACACGCTCTTGACACTGAGTGCAGCCAGTGCACCCTAATCGAAAACGCTAATAGTTTAAAGGCAGTTCATATCATGTCAGCCATGTTTAGTACTCTCCTTAGCACCTTTGTCATACTGACTTAAGCTGGTTGCGTCTCTCTGATAAATCTAGGACTCTAGTAGAACGGACCGAATTGAATCCAAAATTCTTATACCATTTCGTAGGTTGCGCAATAGTTAACGAGATATTAACGTTTAAAGATAGTCGAATAAGCGCGTCCGGCCGGCCTACTGCTGCCGAATATACAACCTACCGATCCCACCGATCGCACGGCGCGCGGGCCGCTGGGAATGGGGATGGCTTGCTAGGCGTGCCGTTCGAGTTGTTTGAAGACGTTTAGTGACAGTTCCCATTCTCAGCAGCCCGTTCGCCGTGCGATCGGTGGGGATGGTAGGTTGTATATTCGGCAGCAGTAGCAGAGGTGCCAATTCTGTTACGGTTTACGACATCGCGACTAGCGCCATCCGTCGGCGGCTTGGCGCAACCGGTAGTACACACACAAGCACAAGCTCGTGTACGTGTGAAGGTAAATTTTCACGAGCTGCTCTAACCGGCTATTTTAGCGACAAAAAGAATCACGTGATCAAAATGGACATTTGATATTCGTCAATTTTGATTCTTTTTGTCGCTGAAACAGCCGGTTTGAGCAGCCCGTGAAAATTTACCTTGACTCTGGTAGCAGAAGTCAGCTGATTCGCTCTGTCCTCGTCGCACTACGTTCTCTCCTTGTTCGCCTTTGGCGTGCTGAGAGCGAACGAGACAGCGAAAGAGAACCTGAGAGAGAGAATCCTTCTCGCTGAAGCGCAGGAGCTCTACTTTTGAAAAGAAACGTATACGAAAGTCTAGGGAAATACTATAGTATATGTAACGTATACTATAGCATTTCCCTAGACTTTCGTATACGTTTCTTTTCAAGAATAGAGCCCCTGTTGTGTCGTATAGCCGTAGGGCTGAGTTTCCACTGAGCGCGTCACACGTCGCGTCGTCGAAGGAGAGAAAGAGAAAGTATGTGTATTTACATAAACTTATCACTTTCTCTCTTTTATGACGCGACGCGTGACGCGCTCAGTGGAAACGTACCATAGCTCGTTTCACCTAGAGTCCTAGATTTATCAGAGAAAGCGCAACCGGCTTAAGTCAATATGACAAAGGTGTTAAGGAGAGTACTAAACATGGCTGACATGCTATGAAACTGCCTTTAAACTATGGCAAACAAGATAAGACGTGTAGGATAAGATAGAGGCTCGTATTCAGAACGCGCTTTTATCGATAAAAGCGCACTTTTATCTCTGAAATTCTATAATATGCGTGACGTAAAGTATGGTATGTTAGCGTGCTAACATCGTTGTAAGCGCGTTCTGAATATGGGCCAGAATGTATAAGATAAAATGAAATAGAAATATGTCACTAGTACTATAAATGGCTGCCAAGTCACGCAATTAGTTAGATTGCAACAGCAAATCAGAATGCATAACAACGGTTGCGCCTCTCTGATAAATCTAGAGGCCTATTCTTTTTGGCTGAACTTTTGCACCAGTTCATCTTTTTTCCTTTTCTATCCGGAAGGAAAGAAGAGGAAGAAAGATGAACTGGTGCAAAAGTTCAGCCAAAAAGAACAGGCCTTATTAGGACTCTAGAGGTGCGTTCCGTATCGCGCATGATGCGCATGATGCATCCATTGTCCTTGTTTAACATTTGGGCTGCGGTCCGATTCTCGCTCACAACACTTCAAAATCATTTCATCCTTGTTGTTTGTCAAATGTTCAACAAAGACAAACGATGCTCGTGAGCGTCGTCAGCATGAATCGGACCATGGCCTTGGTGAGCAACAAGGATAAACGATGCATTATGCGCATCTTTGACTATATACCTCTGGACTGCTAACGGCAG